CTTTCGCAAAGATCTTCGCGACCACAAAGTCTCAGGGTATACCGATGAGATGCAATTTCGCAGGGTACGCCAACTCCTCGTTGATCATAATGGAGTTAGGGACATGGGGGAAGATTTGCTCCGCAACTTAACCTCCGATACGGGAATCCTCATCAAGATGCGTAGGGAAGGTAATGAGGCTGCTCACTGTGATGGTATGGATAATGACATAAGGGAGGACATATTCGTGGCTGCCGTCAAGCGTCAGCCTGAGGACGAGCAGTCTCTTCTAGAGGAAGTTCGAGTTTGTGGTCTCAATTATCGCCTATAAATTTCTTTCTTTCTTTCCTTGCTGTGCTTTGTGACTGCTTTCTAATTGCTTTGTATTACATTATATGCTACACTGTTGTATTATATCATTCTCATGTACGATACCAAGACATCTCTGCATTATACTTAGGTTTATACTCTTCAATCCCGAGTGCCATTGGAACTTGCGGTATGTACGTGACGTCTTCCTGGTCTTTCTCCGTTGGACATGTTCAAGCCTTGATGCATGGCCGTGGTGGTGGATCAAGGACAAAGGATGACGACGACGACAAGCCAGAGCGAGGGTGATAAGAGTCCAAGGATTGTATTGATACCGTAGAAAACAAAAGCTAAAAGTCAAAGAATCAAACATTAGTTTAAAAAATCGGGTTCAAAGAAAAAGCAGCGGTTCATCAGTCAGTGTCAGAGCTCGTGGGATTGTATCTCTCCCCTGAAGATAACAAAAGTACTAGTCGGTCAAGAATAAGCGGTTCAAACACCCGATGCCATCACCAACCTTAGAGTCCCCCCCAAACGGCGGTTATGCAACGGAAGAAATGGGGGGGGGAGCAAATGTGTAGGTTGGTTGGCTCCTAGCCGGGGAAGCCATGTCGAGTTTGGACCTAAACAACAATCGTTAGCATGGAGAAGAACCACGTTTGCTGAGCATGTACCTCTCTTCCCATCCATCATCATTCGCCCGACACCAGATAATTTCCTCCCATCCTGCTCCATCCACAATACTCCAAGTTGTCGTCGCCGTCCTCTTTGATCATAGTTTGCGGCGCCGCAAATGCATTCGAGGGGCGTTCGGGGCGCGCGTGGTTGCGAAGAAAAAGAGCGCCGAGGTCCGATGGGGGGATAGGCCGATCGACATCATCCCCCAGACGTACGCCTTGCTCGCCGTAACGCGATACATCGTCTCAGCGCGAAATTTGACCCATAAAGTCGTTTGAACGGTAGTCAGAACGTCGTCTGCAAAGCTGAGGTCGTTGGGACAGGATGAGGGACAAGGGACAAGACAACGAGGATGGATGTAGTGAAATCTGTCAGAGTAGATCAGCTCCCCCAAAAACTGAGTAAAGATGAGCAACTAACTTTGAACGCAAAAAGAGGCCAGAAATCCTGCATCTTGACCCTCAATGACCAGCAAATATTCCCTTCAGTCTCGACCAAATGCTCTCTCCCTTGAAACTCCTCATGCCAGCAGCCCACTGTACGCAGTGGTTGTCGTTGCGTGCACCTTGCTCGCCGGAAAGCGATACCAAAAGACGGCGTATGCGTTGAGGGGACGAGGTATGCTGAGTTGGTGCAGGAAAAGACGCGGGCCCGTGTCTAACGATTACAACATCCGTGCGGCGAGAGTGATTGTGAGCGAGGAATAGACTTGGAGGAAGACATAATCAGCACAAACTATCAAAGAATCACAAAGCTGACTTTATAGCTCACCAAGAATGTCAAGTGCAAGAGTCAACGTTGAACGTTCAACTGAACCTCCAACTGGGTGAACCCATAGAACTTCTACACCACCGAAGAGAATCCACTCTTCATACCTACAGAATGGGCGACAAAAAAGGTGCCAAAAATAGAGGTCCTGCAATTCAAATAAGCAAATAGAATAACTAACACGAGAAAAAAAAGGTGCAAGCATGTTCCGAACAAGACGAGGGCACGCGCGAAGAGGAATCGAATGCGGACTTCGCAAGCAGGTGAAGGGGGGAAAGTAACCATGAAAAGCCGTTCGACAGTAGAATCGATGATGGTCTGCGAGCACTGAGGTACGGGGGTGCCTTGGCTGTAGGGCCTAAGGGCCAGGTGCCAGCTAACATGCCGATACTGTCTTTCGCCGTTGATTGGGGCTCCGAGGACTCTGGACTGTCGAGTCAAGACGAAGGAGCATGCATCCTGAAGTTGCACATGCACAAGTATGTAGACCCGGTTTCATTAACCTTGCACTAGGTCAAGCGCCGTTCGTCCCACGCCTTGGTGGCAAATGCTTTGCTCGAGTATGTCCGAGTCCCTCTGACCTTGCCTACGAGGGCCCCGTGGAATCTGTAGCTTCCGTTGAGATCCAAAGAAGGGAGAAGTAACCGTCAAAAGATAATAACGTAAATGTACTGTACAATTATGATGCTAAATGAATCCAAAATTCTATAGCGCATCGAAATTGATATGATGCGACGCCCTGCGTCTCTCCAATTCGTCCTCTCTCTGCATACCAGAATAGAATGAGAAATACCCCAACCCAAGACAGGAAAACACACCTTTTCATTCAAATGCAACACCAGTACAATGACCGCCAACAAGATGGTTCCCACCACAACCGTAACCGTCACCCACGGAATCCATTTGCCTGGCCTCAAAAACAGCTGTCTCTTCCACGCCGATCCGTCCTGCCCAGGCAAGATGACCACTTTCGAATTCGGTATGACGCCTTCGATGTTGATGTAATGCTCATCCACGTGCATGGTGCTCCCGACGAAGAGGTTCTCAATGTAGTTGTTCGTCCGACCCAAGCCGAAGAAGGAATAGGGCGATTGGAGAGCATGGTACGACGTCTGTGGAAGCTGGCCGACTGTATGAACGGAGAGTTAGTTGAGAAAAGCGAACAAAGGAAATCCGTACTTTGTGCTGCGGAACGACGGCCAGAAGTGTCGAGGATGGTGTATTTGTATGAGGCCCCGGAGTAGCTCACACCGAATGGCTGGAGGGAAGGTTAGGTAGCGTCAGTACAGTTTTGAAGGATAAACATACAAGATATTGGGTTCCGTTGGGACCATAACACCATCCATTATCACACGCGCCATTCAATACTAGGTGCGTATTAGTTGTGTCGAAAAGAAAAACCGCGAACGCACCAATGGCCTTGAGGAAGAATGCGTCATAGTAAAAGTTGTTCTGCACGAACGATATTTTTTCCGAGCCGGACCGTTGCACCATAACGTCCAATGTGCCCTTTAGAAGCGACGTAAGCAACCAGATTCGCACAGGCAAAGAAGGACCTTACATCTTCATCCATATCTACAAAGGATACACTTCGCGCATCTTTGATTGAATCCAATACTTCCGCGCCCTTCTTCTCCACATGCCAGCCCCGTTTTCCACTGCCGTCCTTGGCACAGCCAGCGACACCCTTCTCGCACGGGACTGAAAACACGAGCTTTGGCGTGTGGTCGATTATAAGTAGCAGATCAGGAAATCCGTCCAGGTTGGCGTCACCTAGCTTGATAGGCAGGGGAACCGCTGGGGAATGCGAAGTGTCGAGGACTAAGAGCGCGCCGCTGTCGAGGGAAGACAAAGGGAACCGCGCAAAGGCGTCGTTATCGCTACTATCTCTTAAGTCGAACTTGAAGTCTGCATCTGCGATGCACAGGCTCTCGGGGGACCGACATTTACGAACACCTTTGACAACAGAAGGTTGGGTGGATGAGGCACAAAGAGGGAGTTGCCTGTTGTAGGCGATGTTTATGTAGCAGTTGCTTCCAAGACCGCTGGAGGTTGATACGGAGGAACAGGTGGGGAATATCATGTCAATAGTCCCGTCGCGGTCGATGTCGGCAAAAGAAATGGCTTGGACGCCAGAGGGAAGGGAGCCTTGTTGTGCGAGATAGAATCCGTCATCTTTCTCGTTGACCCAGATCTGGGAGGACCGTCTGCCTCCACCGGCATCGCATACGAGGAAGACGTCTGAGATCGGTTAGGTTGTTGTCAGCGGTAAGAAATCTAGACGGACCTGCAAGGCAATCCCCGTTGAGGTCCACAACCGCATTGCTATGAGGGGAAGCAAGGGTACACTGTGTGCCATGAAATTCTGGGTCAATGCTGTGAAACTGTAAGCACAGAATAGCATACACAGGCTAAACGCACATGTCGAACAGTGGTGAGTGGGCCTGCGAAGCATTCCACACATTTTGCCACGCCTTCAATGGCTTGTCAGCGTCGGACGTTATTCCCAATAGGTCAATCTTCATGTCGCCATCCAAATCAACAGGTATTGGCTGAGGGGCCTTGGAGGAAGCCACGGATATTGGGCTGGCCACATCTGAGGTAAAGTCAGAAGTAATCATAGCGCATATATCCAGTACGAACCGAAGCCGCCGCCAGGCAATGCAGGGTACAGCACCATGTCAACGGTGCTGCCTGCTCTGCTGTGACCCATAACCAACAAATCCAGCTTCCCTGAGTGCGTAAAGTCGCCGGGAACGACGTTCTCCACCACCACTGGATGTCTGAACGATGCTGATTCCTTGAACTCAAAATCCACTGCGAAACGTACGCGTCACGTTCTTGCTCGTCCTCAAGTACGAATCTTGCGCTCACCGTGGTCCCAGAGGTACACAATCAGGGTCTGCCGGTCCTCGTCGAGCATCAGAACATCTAGGCTGCGTTCACGGTCAGGATATCGACAAAATATTCACGCAACGACATACAATTGGTCCCCATTGAAGTCTCCGAAGGCAATCGCCCTTTCACCGAGTACAATGCCTCTCGACCCAGCGCCTACCAACGAGTTTCCCGTGAATCGCTTTGGCGAGAATGGCCATACAGCAAGGGTTGGGACGACAAGAGATAGAAATAGAGTCCAGGGGCCCGCAGTCGACCATTGCATGGTATTGGTACCGGCTTAAGGTCGGTTGACGTCGTCTGTAACAGTGTTCTAGATTTAGCCTAAACTTAATTATCTTATATTGAAAATGCTTGCAATGAGTATGTCTCTGATAGTATATCGGTTAGTACACGCGCCTGTCATGTGGGTTTCGCGCGAAAGCTGGGTTCGACTCCCAGTCAGAGAGTTGTTGTTTTATTTTTCTTCGGGCCTTAGAAGTTAGCGTTCCACTGCACTGTAGTATTTACATAGTAGTAACTACATACTACAGTATTCACTGTTCGATGTACGCCGTACGATTAACAGTTAGACTCGTAGCCATTTGTAAAGTGCCCACGAAAGAGGCCGCATTTTACCGCCGCCTCCCCGAGGTTAGCCCATATACCTATTCATTCAACACCAGGTGTTCAATGGGGACCTTCGAGCTTCTCCGTAGCTATAAATACCTCGGCTCTCGTATTACGTTTTATTCTAAGGCTCGGTTTTAGACGAATGACGAGTAGTTAAGCTAATGTCAAAGTAGGTGTGTGTGTATTCATCTGCATAATATTGAGCGGAAAGAAATGATTGTCATGGATCAGAAAAACGACGGCCTCCATTACTGGATGGGACTCGGAATCATGCGTAGCGACATCTGAGTACCTTTAGACATCTCATCCCTCACCATGGGAATCATAATTCCAGCGGACTGCCGTTTGATGTCAGTACCTGCCTTGGAAAAAAATGGACTTGAAGGACTCGAGGAGCTCGAACAGGATAACTTGAAGCTCCATAATGCTGGAACAAAATGGTCTGAGCATCAATATAGGCCACAAGGGGGCAGCACGCGAAACGCCAACCGATACTCCGGCGCCTTGTAGCAGTACTGAGTGAAATAATTCTCATACCCGAACATCAACTTACTAAAGGTCAGACTAAAAAATCGAGAAGTGAGAGCTAGGAATTCAAGACGAAAAAATACAAAATGTTAATCAATGTACACGTATAAACTAATATCCTCCTAGTACTGGATGGGACTCGGAATCAGACGCATTGGCATCTGAGTACCTTTAGACATCTCATCTCGTACCATGGGAATCATAAGCCCAGCGTGCTGCCGCTTGATGTCGATACCTTCCTTAGGGAAAGTAAACTTGAACGACTCGAGAAGCTCAAACAGGATAACTTGTAGCTCCATAACACTGCAACACATCATGAGCACGAACGATGGGAAGGAAGAAACAACAACTCACGCGAAACGCCAGCCGATACAGGAGCGGACTCCAGCGCCTTACGGGAGAGGAATTATTGAGTGAACTGCCTTTTCAGTCAAAGCGCCGACTTACTAAAGGACAGACTAAAAGGCGAGGGAATGAGACTTGTTTTCTCGGCAATTAATACCGCACTTACAGGTTAGCATAAACACCAACTGGTGTCTGCTTGTCCAGTTCACCCAAGAATCGATCTGGATTCCAAGCATCGGCATCAGAGCCCCATACAGTTGGATTACTGTAGCGTCCTAGAGTGAGCGTACACTTAACATTATGACGTCGGCTTATACTGACCGATTATAGTATGCAATTGCAATCTCAACGAGCTGGCCCTTCTCCACAGGGATTTCGGTGAGCTTGGCACCGGTGGATGTGGTAACTGGGTCGGTAAGCGGGATGACGTCGTCATAAGCCGCGATACGCAGCAGGGCGGGAACAATAGGATGGAATCGGAGAGTTTCCTGCGAAAGCCAAACCAATGAACAGGTAAACGACTCAAGGCAGAGTTGCACACCTTGATCAGAGCGTTCATAAACAGCATACCATCGTAATCTGCTGCAGTGAGTTCGCCTTTGGTCGCATATCGGCTTCGGACTTCCGCTATTTCTGCGCGGATACGGTCTTGCTGCTCAGGATGATTACACAGCTCAAATAGGGCCCAGGTGAGCGTAGATGCGGTAGTCTCATGCCCTGCCAATGTAAGTGAACTGCCACCGTGAAGAATCAATATGATTGTCTCCAGACAGAATACGATGAACTGACGCTATCTGAGCAAGGACTTCATCGTTGCTTAATCTTTTCTTTTCTTCTTCCTGAGCATTCGCCCGCGCTATGATATTCGATGAGCTCAAGTACTTGCGACAAACAGCAGGATCTCACCTAAGATACTTAGAACATCCTTACCGTTTGATGAATCTAAATTATTCCCCTCGGCGTTCTCCTTCAGCAGTTCCTGTCCAACCTTTTTCGCGGCGACTTCGAAACTTGAGAAATGCGTCTTTTGCCGGGAAGGAATGAGATCCATGAGTTGGAGGAGAGGCTTTGGCAAGATTCTAGGCAACGCCGAGAATAGTATTCCAGCGCGAGAGGGAAATATTCCTGCGTCGTGGCTGGAAGGAAATAAGGAAACGAAATAGTCAAACGGCAGTACTACAAACAATAAGTTGTTTAATGTATTGGCGAGTAGATTATTTTCGTCGTCAAGCGCGCCGTATCGATACCCGAAAGCACCTTTGATGGTCGTTAGTGCTGAATAATGGTATCTTCCAGTACGGGAGGCTCACTTTCGCCAATAATGTCCAAAGTCAGCTTTCCGAGCCATAGCGTTATATTAATATTCGATTGTCCACCTTCGGCCATGTCAGTAAGCTTTTGAGAGAACTAAGCAGCTCGTTAGACTGTAAGTCGCGAGCAAAGGAATCTCACGCAGACTCACCTTCCTCGCTGATCGTTGAAAAAGACTGAGAAAGGTCCGAAGTTGTGCTGCAGAGAATGCGGGATTCATGACTTTCCTGTGACGTTGGTGAACGGATCCTAAGAGAAAGGTATTGAGCAACAAGCCCCGTCGACGAATTGAAACGGAACTGCACCAGCTACTGTGATGATTCCCCTCCCAAATAGTATGTTCAGGTTGTAATCTGAGTCGGGAGCTTTGGGATAACGGTATCCAGAGCCATGAAGGACATGCTGTAAACCTTTCGGATCGCCGAGGACCAATGTATCTTTCTATACCCGGAATTAGCTATTTTGCTACAAAGACATATGCGAAGATACTCACGCCGTAGCAAGCAGCTCCACGGAAGGCTGATCCATATTCGCGAAACCAAGGAAAGTCCAAGTCGCCGACTTGGTCTTGATACTTAACCGCATATTCATTACCTTGGGAATCGAAATAACGATGAGATGTTACAGGCGAAGATAAGGCTCACCAAGAAGCCAGGAGTCCGGTGTAGGACCACGAAGCTGTTTGACAACAGAACGTTTTCGTCTGGAGATTAAAGTAGTGATAGTAACGACAAGAAGCGCGACAATAAACAGAGAAGTGGGCTCCATAATTGACACATCTTTGATCTTTGGGTAGCGCAAGCTTTATAGTCGGAATGCAAAGTGAGGTGACAAAAGAGGACCAAGCAAGAAGCAACAGGGTCCTTCCAGAATATCATGCTTCACTCCCATATCAAGACGAAGCGAAAAATTGGGGCCTGGAGTGAGCCACATTGCATCAATAACGAGGCCAAAAGGCAGCTCGGACATAAGCAAATTTGAGTCAACGGCCCGGCATGCGACTCGAACGTTTTCGGAAGAAATTGTTGTCGTTTACAACTTCAAGGTCCCGGCGATGATGTCGGTGAATCTTCAATCAAAGACTAGTGTTAATAATGTCTCGGTTAGCCCGACATGGGTTTGAATTGACAATGCTACATATGTGTTGTCTGGAGAGTCTTTGCTCACCGACTGAGGCCTAGTTTGGGTCGAGGTATGCAAACAAAGGAGAATGACACTGGGAGAAAAATGATAGAACACAGCGAGAATTCTCGGTTTTTTCCGGACTCAGCCGGAGTCGGCACAATGTTCAACAACTTCTTTCTCGTCATATCTGACCTGCAACTCGTGCGAATCAACGAGTATGTCATCGAATTGCCACGCATACAAAACGCCAGCATGGTGCCATATGTCAGCAGCCAACTGAAAATCGGGGGCTTTTGCTCTTCTTTATAGTGCTGTATTTTTCGGGGATGGCAAGTTCTCGGTAAGCCTGCTTGAGAAAGCGTAAGTCTGACATACTGTTTGCTGTCAGTAAAGTACTTACTTAGTGTTCGTAGATTAACTTTTCAGTGATGTCAACCATCCTCTCCGCGATCGGCACCACTACTGAAGTACTGACTATCTAAGTACCCCAAATCCTCGGCTTCTGAATCGTTATATGACACGTTCCCAATGATCCACCGGGCCAAGGAGATTTCCTTCTATGGTATCCCAACTTACACGCGAACCCAAAGATAAGTATACCGCGATGTCGTATGATATTGTCTTTCGTTCAATACAATCTTTTTCAATCTCGGAGTTGGTGGCGATGTGTGTGGAGTACAGCAACGGACTTGTGAGGTGTTTATTTGCCCTGGCTTGGGCAGGTGCTTTTAGTTCTGCGGGTGGCCTTCCTTTGTCTCCGACTACTAGTTCTGTCATACAATCATTGACGCCTTCAAGAGGCCTGATACGCGGTCGACCATCGCCCAACCTTGCCGGCATGTTTGTTGGATTGTCAAGGTATGTAATGACTCGGCCTTTGACCTGAATCATCACATTGAAGAAGTTCATCTTTTCTTTTCTTTTGTTGTCCTAACACATAGTACATTGCCGTTTCCTGGGTGTAGCCATAAGCCCTGATTTTCAGCGAAGACTACTATTCAAAGTAGTCGATCCTTGGCTTGTTAAGGTACGTACACTGGCCCTGAGACAGAAAGAGTGCATACTTTTCTTTCCCTCCTATTCTTACAACCTAGAATGGACGTTCTTATTACAGTTGTGCCTTCCGAACGTCAATGAACTGGCTGAGGTTAATATATGTATCTGAAAATGATCGGACGTATGTTATTAACCCGGGCCCAATATTAGCTATGAGCATCATTCACGGGAACATGTACATAAACTCCTTAAAGCATCGCCAAAGAAACTGGGTAGAATACATGACGCAAGCTTTGTTTTAGCTGTAAATTTTCTTATGCGATTGACACCTTATTCCACATTCCAATCACGCTGCAGATACAGGCAATAACATCGCTCTTCGTCCCGCAGCTTCCAGTATATCTGTGGCAGAGCCTATGCCAACAAAGTCGTGCTCATCTTTTGAAGCAGGAGGGAAATCGGGGGGCCTAATCCCTTTCAAAAAGCTGTCTTTCTGCCTCTCGATGTACGCTTTGTTCATCGGTGTGAGAGG